TGTGTGTGTGTGTGTGTGTGTGTGTGTGTGTGTGTGTGTGTGTGTGAGACACAGAGAGGAGAACGTGGGAAAGAACGGGGGCTGTTCTCGGATGGTACAAATTGCTTTTTTGACCCCGTAATTAGTGGCAGAAGACACTCTGAAGGAGCCGGTGATGAAGCTCCCGTGGCCGGATTTCAACATGGAGGCATAAATTATCATTTATGGAGCACTAATGGCCTGTTGAGTCGTCCTCTCAGACCTCACTCTGCCACTCCGGATCTGAGCTCTTCCACGGCCATGACTGGTCATCTTTTATGCGTAATCTCCGTGGCGGGAACACTAACTATGACATGAAGAAACACGAGCTCTCCTCGTGTACCCTCTGGTTTCTCTTTCCCGTTCCTCTTCTGTCTTCTGCTGTCTTTTTTCCCCATCTGTTTCCTCCCTCTCTTCTGTTTTCCCCGTCCCACTTTTCCAACTCCTTCTACGATAACCATTTATTTCTCTCTGTTCCTGCCTCTGTCTTACTCTTCTTTTCCTCTATTTTTATAGATCAATTTTTACTCCCTGTCCTCCCAAACACTCCTGTTATTTACCTTAATTACTTTCACCCCTTTCCCTTCCTGTACTTCCCTTTGTGCATTATTTCCTACTTTCTTGCAAAACACTACACCCAGCAGCTACTTTATTAGGTATGCCTTGCTTCAGAAGGTTTTGATTCTTTGTGGCATTGATTCAACAAGATGTCGGAAATATTCCTCAGAGTTTGGTCCATGTTAATATGACAAGATCACATAGATACTGTTGATTTGTTAACTGCAGATGTGAATCTCACATAAGAAAGCACTCTGCTGGATTTAAAACTAGTGCACTGTAAAAAAAAAAAAATGTTGCGAAAACTTAAAAACTCAAGGCAACCCACTGCATTTACGTTTTTAGGTTCTGATGGATAACTTAGAATTTCAAGTTTAGGAGAAAAGTTGCTTCAACTAATGTTTTTGTGTTTACAAGATTAATAACTGTGCTTTTTCTTAACTCATATTTTATTGTTTTAGCAATGTAATTCCTAAAGTTTACACAAGGTATTAGTTTTAGTTTTGGCAACATATTTCCTAAAGTTTACGCAACATTTTTTTTTTTTTTGCCAATCAACTTCCTAAAGTCTAGAAAAAGTATCCTTTATAGTTTTCATGAGGTGCTCCTTGTTGTATTAATGAATGTTTATACAATGTTGATTTTCAAATAACTTTATTGTGTTCAAACACAACTGCACCACTGAGATGAGCCATTTTTAACATACTGACAACATTCAGCCAATAAAGTCCTTTTCCAAAAACAAGAAAAAGTCATCCAATTTTAAAGGTGTAGTATTGTCAGTCAGAATATCAAACCTATCTTGATTGATAGTCACTAACAAACAGATTCAAAACATCAGATGGCAGGATGTGAACTCTTCTGGTTTCCATACAGCAAACAAATGTGTACTTGAGTTCTTTGGGAAACTCCATGTTGAGCCCATAAAGTAGGCCAAACCGGTAGGCAAAGGCAGTGGGAAGGTCTGGCAGATCATCAAGAATAATGTCCTCTTCGAAAACAATGGCAGTGTTGACCCCTGTGGACTGCGAGTTGGGTCCCACGTAGTCCTCCAGAACTGTGAGGATGCCCACCGTAACACCTCGGGTTGCCCTCTCAACTGGATCTGTATCCTATGCAAAATTAACAACAGTACATATAAGTCTCTGTAAACCAAAACTGAAGATTGAGTAGATTTGCATACTCACCAGATATGTTAAGAAGAGTTTGGTCTCGTCGTCACGAACAAATATCAGTAACCCTTCCAAACTGATGGTTCGTCAATGCTGGACTATGTTTGAGACCTAAAACAAGGAAATCAAATAAGACTCAGACTCATTTATAAACCTACCATTTTGTTTTAAAAACACATTAAGTGTTGTTGCTAAAAATACAGCCTTAAGAAATAAGATGTTAAAATTAGTTATTCCAGATAATTGCTCATGGTTTTGTCAGGTTTTTTTTAAAGTAATTTTGATGCAGAACCAATGTAGCACACTTATGACAACATTTAAAACAAAAAGTGCCATGAGTGGGATGAGAGGTGAACTGTCCGTCATGACCTGCCATCTGCCAAACACACAGCGCTGCTCATTAGCTTATAATCCCATTCAAGGTCCTCTTAAATGGGATTATAAAAAAAAAGTGTATCCTACACTTTTTGAACACTAACAATTATTATATCAATTTGGGAACTTCAGGTTCATGCACAAGTTTTGCAAACAAAGTTATATGGTACTATTTACCTAAAAATGCAGCCTCAGGCGTTTTTTATATAACCATTTAAATCTATTTACAGAACAATCAGGGTTCTGCATCAAATAAGAAGGCACACAAATTATTTGTGCCAGTCCAAAAAAAATAGTTTGTGTTCAGTATAAGACAGAGGAGAACAGCACAGGCCTAAACCCTGCAGGTCTGACAACAGGAGGTGTATCAGTCCTGTTTTGCATGTGGGAACAGCGTTTACACTGGAATCTGCTTTTGATGGCTTTTTCGGAGCAAATGTGACATTCAGCAGTATAACTGACACACAATACAAAACAATAACTACACAACACACTAACTCTACCCTCCAAACACGCTAAACGTCACTAATGCCTCACATATGACAACTCGCGCTCTCTTTCTTTTGCTCTCCCGCTTTCTGTCGCGGGTGTCACTCCTAAAACTGCCCCTTCTCCTAAACAACCTAGTGCCGCATGTTGCCATATCATTTTTTTGATTGGCTGACATGGTAAACTCTAACACCAATAGGGAAGGGGTGTTTTTTCTTTTTCTTTTTTTTTTACCCGCAAGTGGAGAGTGTTTGCTCGCGCGGTCCGTAGAAAACGTCGTTTTTGCCGTTCTTCCCGCTGTAAACTCCACTGTTTTGTTCAAAAAAATAAATAAATAAATATTGCGTGTATTTTTTATCATAACTCTGGTTTTACGTGGCCTATCGACACAATTCAAAAACTGGTGTATAGTTTGAAGTCCACACTTTCGATCCAAGACTGAGTCACTGCATCTTGTAGCTGTGTCGTCTTAAATTGGTCATGTGATTTTGACATGCCGGCGCGTCCGTCGACCCCAGAGGGTTAAAGTCTGTTTGGTATGACTCTTGCAGACTCTAGTCTGCCTTCGTATTTAAAATACCCCCATATTTACTGCTCTGCTGCTTGTGCTCTGTAGCTGCTTCTCTGATCTTCCTCTCCCTTCTGTTTGTGTGTTTGGTGGAGCTCGCTGGCCGTGAGGACTCCACCACCCCGTTCACACAGAAACTAAACCATATATTATTTTGGCTAAATATGATTTGAACAAATTAAATGACATGGCAGTGGGCGTCCCCGAAATTCATTTTTTTTTAAAAAGCGGCTGGGGGTTTGCCGCCGTTGGTCGTCAGCCATGATCGAGCTAGCCTATAGAGATTGAAAATGTGACGTCATTGCGGGGTAAAACCGCAAAGAATTCTGGGAACACATGGCAAGCGGTACTAGCGCACGCAGGCTTTCACATGAAAAGAGTCACACAGCGATAAAAAGAAACACAAAAAATGGCAAAAAGCCGTTGTATTATTAACTGCAATAGCTGGTCACATGACAGCCATGGGAAGCCGACGGATAAAGAGATTGTTTTTTATCGGATTGAGTCGTGGAAGAGAAATTGTTCAAGCCGTGTTTCCGAAGTAACAAAGAGCCGACAGATGGCCTGGGTTGCAGCCATTCGAAGACCAAATAACGTCTCAGAACACTCCAGCTTGTGAGCTGGAGTGTTCTGAGACGTTAGTTCTGAGACTAACGTTGTTAGTCTGCTCCAAGCATTTCCACAAAGGTAAGTCTTCTGTTGTAGTTATTACGTAATTTATCATAACATAATTGTTGATGTAGGTTACAAATAAGTCTTATATTGATTTGAATTGAATTCGTTGCGCTATGCTGCTTTGTTCACTGTGGCTTTGCGGGCTAATGTTTGTTGTGTTTTGTAGGAAAACCAGCCTACAAAATGCAATCCAGACTGGGCCCCCTCTATCAACCTGGGTCATACCGAGTTTAAAGCTGCTACCACAGCGAGATTTGATCGGTTAAGAGAGAGAGCGATATCAAAACAGCCACGAAACATCACGCATATATGTGCCCAAGTGTTGTATTGAAGCAATCAAGTGATGAATAACTGTTTTCCAGTATGTTGTTTTGCAATGTTTGTTTGTTTTTTTTTGTTTTTTGCATTGTTGATTTGTTTTTTACCGAAGCAGCTAATAAAGCATATTAGCTAGACTGAGACAAAAAATCGTCCCGGGCATTTTGACTAGAGACCGGCCCACCAGGTATTCTAGGAAAAGCAATAAAGCCTTTATAATAAACTTAAACCTACACCATCCTCCCTTATTCTGGTGTATTCTAAACAGTACTTAGCAAAAATATAAAACAACCAAATCAATAATTACATGTACCTAACTAATAGGGTTGCCAACTCCAAGCAAGAAAAACAAAAGCATTTCCGCTTCAAGATTCTTAATTGTCATAACAGACTTTAATTTAATGCATGTGTAAAACAAATGCAGAGAAATCAATTATTTTTCTCCAGTAATTAAATAGATTCAACGTCTTTCTTCAACAGAATTGCAGACTGCACAGATCGTACCTTCCCAAAGGAAAAAAAAATACTATAATTTACCAGGGTATATACTAGACTTAATGTTACTACATACAATAATCGGATTTCTATACACTTTTACATCAGATGAAAACGTTTGGTTGCAAGAATCAGAGTAATTAATTTATTAAAAAGCAGAGAATTTAAATCGAGAATAAGAAAGAACCAAGATTTCTGCTTGTGAGCCCTCCCCTAGTTATGCCCTTAATTCCCTACCGTCCTCCCCTGGCCAACAACTTTGCTAACCCGCCCCTGCCAACAGTTACCAGCTCACTAGCTGTAGAGTCCTGGGCTTATATTGTCTCTCAGAAACAGTTCATGAATTCCCTTTCAACTCATGTCATAGTTGCTACCTAAAAGGTAAACCTGTTTATCTCATCCATACACACTCTCAATTGGTGCTAAGCCTCCAACGCTCTGATGATTCAGTAAGGACATCTCCTGGTTTCATCTTCATGTTTCCCTCTACCAGCAATATCAAACCGATATCATGACCAGCAGCTTTTACAGCTGTGGCTCCAGCAAACATCAGCTGATACTAGAAATTAATATTAAATAAATTCTAACAACAGCTAATCAAACTTAAACGTGCTGCTGTTCTTTTGCGTGACCTCTGCTGGTTTCATCTTTCTGGCACAGAGAGAAAAGCTGATCAGCTGATCATTGATCAGGTTCATGATTGAATTAGCAACTTTCTAGTGGAAGTACGGGACAAACCGCATTCCTTTTCACCTCAACTTTAAAGTTCAACCTCCTCGGCTGCAGCCCAGAGTCGATCATGACCAACTGGCCAATCCACCACCATTCATCTGTACTGTTAAAAAAAGAAATAAAACCTCATCGGCCCATAAAAACAAAAAATCATGAGTGACCCACCGGGCAAATGCCTGGTATGCCCGATGGCCAATCCAGCTGTGGTTGCCAGCAGGAGAGCTTACAAAGCAAAATGGTCACCAGTTCGGAGGTGCTTCAGATTACCAGTTTCTCTTTGTGTAATTGTTGCAGTAGTTCTTCTCCCTTTTTCCTGATGGCACAGCAAAGGCTATGAAAGACAGCAAGCATGATCGATCAGGCAGCAACACGTAGTCAGTCATGTCCCTCAGTAATGAAAAGACAGGATTTTGACTTTATAATCACCTAATCCAAACCTATTATGTAGTCCGAAGCCATCATTATACAACTGTAAGGTGCTTTGCATAAATTATTCATTATTCAACTTTTAGCTTTTTACAAAATGGAGATATTGCATTACATGCACACATACAGAAATAATGTGTCTTCTAAAATGTGTGTCTTGAATGCTGTACAGTGTTTGACAGTCACAGTGGGTACAGTTTGCCCTTAAAACAGCTGTCATTACAGAACAGAGTAGAAAGGAATGCAATTAGACACGTCAGCTCTGCGATCCATCACTGGCTATTATGGCCTCCGCAAGGTGAGGAAAGGAGATAATGGCTCATAGATACTGCAAGGAACACGCACACACACACACACTGCCATAAGTGGTCCTCTGTGTCCGACAGCTTTGTGACAGAAAATGAAAACACAGATGTGCTTATAGGCAGGAAAACAAGTAATCAAGTCTGCTTATACTCACCAACACTGTCCAACTATCCAACACCGGGGAAACCAGCTCTCTCTTTTTTGGCTAGCATAAAGTCTCAACTAGCTAATGTGGCGCCGTTTGAGGAGGGAGTTTGCTCAAAAATTTGGATACGTGGAAAAACTTAAATAATACCATTGGGAAAAAGTCCGAGCACCATTATGTCCAACAAGAGAAATTAAACTATATGAATATATGTTCAACCAACAGTTCAAACATCTACTGTTTGAATTTTACAGGAGATTTATACTTCAGAAATATCGTCATTTAGGAGTAAGTGGGAAGTCAGATTCAAATCCCCCCCCTTGGAAAAATCACAGTACCTCTAACAAGTATCACTCTGCGCCATCGTCCCATTTGATAACTTGTAATAGTGGATGAGGCCTAGCAGATGCACAACGACTCTAGCTGCCTGGGATAGGACACCTGACAACTGATGCAGTCATGCCCTGTATCCAGGCCTATAAACAAAAGAAACTTGACCTTTTGATTTTTAATGTGCACAGACTATCCACAGCTGACTAGATATTATAGCTCACTACTGTGGTTTTATGCTGTCTCTTCTCTGTCATCATGACATCAGACTGACTCCATAATGCTGTTGGGATCAGGGTTCTGTCAGAGTGTTAACATCTGTTCCAGGGGTCCTTGCGTTTCCTGTCACCCTGCATAGTCATAAAGAGGTCCAAGATCAATCCAAACCAGGTCTTAATTGACCCAGTACTCTCGACACTTGGCCATTGTTTCAAATTGTATGTAATAAGTCGAGCAAAGAAGAATGAAAGGAAAAATAAAGAATGCAGGGGGCTGAGAGAGGCCTAATAGAGGGCTGCAGTACCTCCTGGACTTTTATAAACCGACAGTTAGCAGAGCCCACCACATCTTCAAACACACAGCCTTAGTGTGATGAGTTCCCCGAAGAGGTCTGCGGCTACTCTGCCTTGAAAGCACCCAGATTTTTGCCGGTGTGTGCACTTTTAATTGCACTCCCATTGCTTGCCCCCCAGCCCCTCAAATCTTTCTTTCTCTCTCACATACACACTTTCTGCCCCTTGCTCACCCTTTCCTCACAAGGCCCCCAACTGCTCACTCTTCCCCCTTGTCTCTTTCCCATTCTGTCGTTTTAGCCCTTTTTCTATATCTGTCCATTCTTCAAAGGGGGAACTTCATTCACTTTATTTTAATTTCATAGAGAAACCCTAAGGGGATGAGTGAGAGATGGCAGCGTGAGAGAGAGGGAGAAATAAGACACTGCTTTATTTTAGTGATGGCTCTGTAGTATTGGGGCAAAGCCTTTGATGGTTGGTTACTGGCCAGCCATGAACACAGCCTAATAAACAAATGAATAACCCTAACAGAATGGTGTTGCTAGCTGATGTCTCAGAAGTAAGGCCCTGACTCTCTGCCATTTGGTCTTATTTACTTGGCCTTGGCCTCATTTCTTTTATTTCTGATAACACTGAACCAAAGCAACTGATCAGAGATCTGCTAATAAGGTTGGGAAAGCAAAACCTTCTAGTCGTCCTACAATCAAATCTTTCCATCACTTTGAAACCCCTATTTAAATAAAAGAGGACAGGTCATTAATCTTACCAGGCCTGTGGTCCTTTTCCAAGTCTTCATTCCATATTTAGTGATGACTCAAACAAAATTCCGTGACCATGAAGTTACATACAGGTGACGTCCGTGGAGCATGCAAAAGAAATGGAAAAGGAGAGCGTAACATTGCATTTGTAGAGGGATTATGAAATGGATATAATTATTTGTTTGAAGATTAAAAGATTGGGTCTTATTTTGTAAATGTTTTTTAAAAATATAGGTTTTTTGTTGTTTTTTTTAAATGTACATTATTCAACACTGCTGTAAACGTACCAGACGTATATAAAAACAAAACAGTATTGTAATTACAATAAGTGTTATTCAAAAATGTTGAAACATTAAAAACGTAGATGTTGAGTTTCATTCACATTTTGTAAATTAGGTGATAGGCCACATATAGACATATATACATACATACATACACGTGTACTACAGTCATTGTGTTAGGAGATTTCAATGTTCAAAATGTGTGTAAAATCATTGGTCAAATCTGCTAAAACCTCTTAAAAAGTTGAGCCTTTTCACCCTAAAACAGCTCTAAAAGTGAATAAAAACTTTAAACAGCACTTAATTTATTTAGTATAAAACTTATATTCTTGTCTTTACTACTATAACAAATAGATATGCCTGCCATTAAAAAGTTGAAACTGTTGTGAACCTCTACTGCATGCATACATATTTACAATAACACAACTCACATATGTGTTTTTTGGTTTGGCTGCTAAATTGGTGTTTTTAGCACAGCCCTCCACCTTTGTCATTACAGGATTCTTATTTCTATTTCTATTCAGGACTTGAGTGTCATACCTACTTTTTATATTGTCTCTGATGCAACAATGAAAATACACAAGGTTGGAGATGCCAGTATAATTTAACAGTTGGCATGACTTTGTAGTACTACCTTTGATATCCTTTCAAAGTAGCATACATAGAAAGACACTTATTGTTGTGGATTTCCAGCTTTGACTTTGCTGAACTGAGATAAAGTGCAGTCTCTCTTTTCACTAAAAGGACTGAAAAGGTAGAAATATTCAGCAGTACAAATTGATTTAACAAGCATGTGCCCAAACAAGGACAATATATTTAAGAAGCAAGTGTGCATTTTTTGTATTACATTTATTACAAAGTAAGGAACTATTGGTATCCTAACCTCCCGAGACCCTGCAGGCTCATATCAGGACATCTAAAACACAGAACTATTGAGTTGTTGGTGAACTGCCAGTGACATGCAACAGGCCAGTCTTTTCCCTTTCTCCTAGAAACTTCCTCTAACAAAGGCGCGTCAGAGGTATTCCTTTCTCTGTCTGAGTATATACCTGCCTCCATCCCCACTGTTTGCTTTTGTTAACCAGAACTTGGATAAAAAAGATCTTCCACCAGTGTGTTCCTTCTCTAGGTCTTACTGCAGCATCTATGTTTGAGGACATGTAAAATGGTCCCTTGTTAAACTCACAGCAGGGGTTTTCTGACTCTGGACAATTGGACATGTCTTGTCTGGCCAAACTACTAATATCGAGTTGAGCGTGCGAACGTTCACCCCACTGACTAGCCAGGAGGCTAGGCCGGGAGTAACTAAAAGTCATTACTTAGTAAAAGTAAGTAAATACAGGAAGAAGGTGCTGTGTGAGAAAACAGAGAATTTACGTTCACTCCTAGTTGCTAGAAAGACCTTTGCACATCTATAGTAAATTCGCATATTGCAAATATGAAGCATACATGGCTACGGGACTTTTTTTTAAGATCAAACTTGTAATGTACGCTTGGTGCTTGATTCAATTGTGGGTCAGATCACTTTCAGAACATAAAAAAACTGCTCTGGAGTTTCTTTGGAACCATACAGAGACCACCTCCTCCACAGGGTCTCAGTGAGGTTTGTTTTATTCAGTTTCTTTACGTTAAATTTTATTAAAATTGTGCAAAGTTACAGTTACCATATGGCACTTTATACTGTAAGGTAAAAACCCTACAATTATAATGAGAAAACCCCAACAATCAGCTGACCCCCTATGAGCAAGCACTTTGTGACAGTGGGAAGGAAAAACTTCTTTTTAACAGGAAGGAACCTCTGGCAGAACCAGGCTCAGGGAGGGGCAGGGGTACTGGTTGTGGGTGAGGGGAGGGAGACAGGAAATGTATAGTACACTATTTGAAATGTTGTTTGTATTAGGTATTGTAACAGTAAAGTTGTTCTTTATGCTTGAAGTGTTGGTTTAACCTCTTCCCACGTGCAATTTTACACCATTATAATGCACACAAAGGTTAAGGTATGGAATGAGTGTGTTGTTTGTGGATTGAAATGCAAAAACACTTGTAGTGACAAAATACAAAATCAGTTATGTTGCTCTTTTAATACTTTTTTCCACACCAGGCTATTAAATAGTATTACTGCATGCTTGTTTGCCTAGCTGGCATGGCTACTTCGCTAAGGTGATGTCGCTCTGGACATGCAGGTATTTGTGGGCACAACTCCGTTTCACTGGTTCCTGAAGCAAGCCTTGTATCTCTAAAAGGTCATCTTTTTAGAACAAACAGAAGTGACTCTGTTCACAGCTCAACTTCCATGTAATTTTGAGCTTATCCAATGTAATTTGAAAGGTTTTCATAAGCCTGAAGGGTTGTAGGCCTTTCTCTGTCCGTCCCCTTTCATGCAAGTTGAAACTTGTCCAAGAAGTTTTCACACACGTCAACAGCTACTGTATGCGCATTTGAGTATTGTAAATGTATGTCTCTCTGAGGGCTTGTAATCATAGATCAGTGTGTGTTCATGTGTGTGTGCGAGCACGTCAGCATGCAGGTGTACAGGCTGTGTGAAAGATGAGCCCTGACGATGGGCCGTCCACCTTGCCCTTTGGCTATTTCTGTACCGTGCCTTCCCCGGCGTCGGTTGCGTAATGATCTGGGAGATAGAGATTGCTCTTTGTTTGTTGTCTCTCTCAGCCATAACTGGGCCTTGGTGCCAGAAGGTCAAGTGTACAGAATAAGAACAGGCTTACACAACACAGAAAACACAGACACACCTTTGATGTGAAAAAAGGGATGTGTGTGTGTCTCTTTCTCTCAGATGGAGGGCGGTGATTGATTTCAGACAACAGAAATCTAGCTGTGTAGAAGTGGACCTGCAGTGTACCATTTCAACAGCAAGCAGTTTCCACATATTTATGTGGTTCTAAACAAGTGTTGTCTTAAAGATTATTTTAGTAATAATAAGAAAGTAAGAAAGTTTAGCACTAGCAGATCACTGAAGAAACTCTAAAGGGACTGTTAAAAGGGACCTATTACGCTAATTTTTGGCTTCATACTGGACCGTGTTGCAGCTCCTAAGTAAATTTTCTGTCTAAAACAAGCTCCCCTCCCATTAGACGACTCTGTTGCTGAATGCTCCACCTTGCAAAGAGAGGGTTTGAACAACAGGGTGTTAGTGGGACTGTGCACAAGATGGGTTTCAGGCTACTGTGTCACATAGTGCCATCTTTATCTTATGATGAAGGTGCATTTTGTTAAAAGGTGAATGCGCTGCTGTTCATGTGTTTCTGTTACATTTTTCTAGTCTTACTTACCAAAGTGCTTTTACACTACCAGCCACTTTGTCTTATGGTGTTATTATTTACCTTGTAAGTGGGTAGTCTTTAGACATTAAGGGGAATTATGGAGTTCTTCAGGGTTATGGTTTAAGACCAATTCTATTTACATTAATCATGCCTTTCTTAGTATAATATTATTAGAAGGGGTAGGACACATTTTTATTGCTATGCAGATGATACCCAACTTTATCTATCCATGAAGCCGCATGCCACACACCAGTGAATTAAACTGCAGGAATGTCTTCAAGACAAAGACCTGGATGACCTCAAATTTCCTGCTTCTATTCGGTTAAACTACAATTATAGTATTCAAACTTAAAAATCTTAGAAACACGTTCTCTAAAGAGATACAGTGCCGTGCAAAACTATTTGGCCCCCTTGAACTTTCCCACATTTTGTCACGTTACAGCCACAAACATGAATCAATTTTATTGGAATTCCACGTGAAAGACCAACACAAAGTGGTGCACATGTGAGAAGTGGAACAAAAATCATACATGATTCCAAACATTTTTTACAAATAAATAACTGAAAAGTGGGGTGTGCGTAATTATTCAGCCCCCTTTGGTTTGAGTGCAGTCAGTTGCCCATAGACATTGCCTGATGAGTGCTAATGACTAAATAGAGTGCTCCTGTGTGCAATCTAATGTCAGTACAGCTCCTCTGTGACAGCGTCAGAGGTTGTCTAAGAGAATATTGGGAGCAACAACACCATGAAGTCCAAAGAACACACCAGACAGGTCAGGGATAAAGTTATTGAGAAATTTAAAGCAGGCTTAGGCTACAAAAAGATTTCCCAAGCCTTGAACATCCCACGGAGCACTGTTCAAGCCATCATTCAGAAATGGAAGGAGTATGGCACAACTGTAAACCTACCAAGACAAGGCCGTCCACCTAAACTCACAGGCCGAACAAGGAGAGCGCTGATCAGAAATGCAGCCAAGAGGCCCATGGTGACTCTGGACGAGCTGCAGAGATCTACAGCTCAGGTGGGGGAATCTGTCCATAGGACAACTATTAGTGTGCACTGCACAAAGTTGGCCTTTAGAAGGTGCTCTGGTCAGATGAGACCAAAATGGAACCTTTTGGCCAAAATGCAAAACGCTATGTGTGGTGGAAAACTAACACTGCACATCACTCTGAACACACCATCCCCACTGTCAGATATGGTGGTGGCAGCATCATGCTCTGGGGGGCTTCTCTTCAGCAGGGACAGGGAAGCTGGTCAGAGTTGATGGGAAGATGGATGGAGCCAAATACAGGGCAATCTTGGAAGAAAACCTCTTGGAGTCTGCAAAAGACTTGAGACTGGGGCGGAGGTTCACCTTCCAGCAGGACAACGACCCTAAACATAAAGCCAGGGCAACAATGGAATGGTTTAAAACAAAACATATCCATGTGTTAGAATGGCCCAGTCAAAGTCCAGATCTAAATCCAATCGAGAATCTGTGGCAAGATCTGAAAACTGCTGTTCACAAACGCTGTCCATCTAATCTGACTGAGCTGGAGCTGTTTTGCAAAGAAGAATGGGCAAGGATTTCAGTCTTAGATGTGCAAAGCTGGTAGAGACATACCCTAAAAGACTGGCAGCTGTAATTGCAGCAAAAGGTGGTTCTACAAAGTATTGACTCAGGGGGCTGAATAATTACGCA